TAATTCCACCTTCTATCTCAGTCTGCTCTTCTTCTAGAGGTCACTCTTCAGGAGAAGGTGCATGACTTTGTTCTTTGAATATTGATGGTGAGTCCAAAGTTGTCACAAGTCATAGAAAATTTGTCCATGCTGGTAGGCCTCAATTTATGACCGGTTGCTTAGTGACCATTCAAGATTATGAGGGACATCTCTGGAGGGTACTTAATACCTAGATTTGGGTTCATTTAATGCTGTTTGCAGCATCCTGCACCCATGTGATTGCGTTTTATGATGATTTTGCCAAGACCAGCATTTACCTCCTTTATGACTGCAGTGTTCACTTAACGACCACTATAAAAAGGCCAAAAATATTGGGCTGGCAACATACATGATTTAATGAACAACTGTCATGACATGATCATAATGGGAAGTCTTCCTTATGACTGTAACTTGAGGACTGCTGATGAATGACTTACATGTTTCACTATGAGTCAGAGTGCAGGGCACAGTCATAGGAATTTATGTTGTATGCCCTAGTGAATATCAATTCAATTACTGTATGAATGTATCAACTGCTTGCTTTGCTAAAGGGCAGTCTTTTAGAAACATGGATTGTGGGCTATTTGCTTTGAAGGAAAAAAAAAAAAAGGACATTAAAGCGTGCTTCTTTTGACAGTGTCCGTTACAGACTCCTGACTGTGAAAGTTGTCAAATCAGGCATAGAGAATTCTCCTCTGATGCAAAGCTACCGGATATTATTGTTTAACTAAAGATTTATTTTCTGGCACTTTGCAACTTTAACAAAATGACTAAAGTATTTTTAAGCTTGTCAAATCAGTGAAAAGGGTTTTTATTCAGCAAGCGTTCCATAAACATTTCTGTAAATCAAAATTATGGTAGCTCTAGGTAAAATTTCTAGAGAAGTAGAACAGAGATGGACTACTTCATTTGACAGCTAGGGCTATGCTTTAGAGCTATTTATTTGGCCTGTGACTCAAGCAAACGATGGCCACGTCACCAAAGAGAGAGAGAGAGAAAAGGGGTCAATTGGAGAGTTGAGTTTCTTCTTTCAAAACTAAAAATAATTAAGGCTACCTAAATAAATCTTGTTGCCCCAAATGACCATTTTGTCTTATTGAAATATGGTGGCCATGAAATCTTGAGACATCTAGCAGAACAAAAATGAGACTGGGATTGCACATGGCTCTTATATTAGATGTAATACAGTATAATACATGTAGAAAGATGAATACCTGATCTGAAACAAGTTATTTTTTTTAATTAACTAGGACATATTGTCTATACCTTTGTTCTGATTTGAAGGACACCAAACTGGTCTACTGTAATGGAAAAGACTGCAACTGGATAGATGTTTAGGACAATAATATACAATCCTGTTCAATCTGAGAGCTGGACTATATTCTGGGGATTGCATTTATAAAATTGGATACATCAGGGCAAGGAGTTGACAGGATATTGGATAAAAATAGAAATTAATGAATCAACTTGATTGGATTGCACACAAAAACTAAACAAATTAAGTTTTTTAAAAATTAAAAATTCCTGGCCATAGACACCTGATTTATGTTTCAGTTTCTGATGAACATGTCCAAGGAGATGCAAGACTTCCAATCCCACCCCCACCCCCACCCAAAAAATGCTTTGGAACAGGTATGGGCGCTCATTATTGATTGGAGGTTGAATATCCAATGGCATTGAATATTTTGCTTCTCAAGACCCATGACCACAAGAGGGCAGTAGGGTGTAGATAGACTTCAAGAATTAATTTTCATCCTGTCTGTTCTTTGTCTAACAGATTGCAAATTTGTTTTAAGAATTCTAATAGTACCTTTCTCCCCAGGGATCTACACACAAATATTCCTGGAGTCTACCCTTGATGGGATATACAGGTAGTCCTCAATGTACGACCACATCTGAGCCCCAAATTTATGTTGCTAAGTGAAAAATTTGTAAAGTGAGTTTTCCCCATTTTACAACTTTTCTTGCCTTGTTTGTTAAGTGATTCACTACAGTTGTAAAATTAGTAACATGGTTGTTAAGTGAATCTGGCTTCCCCATAGACTTTGTCAGAACGTCGCGAAAGGCAATCACATGACCCCGGGACACTGCAACCGTCATAAATGTGAGTCAGTTGTTAAGCATCTGAATGTGAAAATATCTACAGACCCCTCACATCGCAGACATAAACTGTTTCAACTCCTGCCCTCAAAATGATGCTATAGAGCACTGCACACCAGAACAACTAGACACAAGAACAGTTTTTTCCCAAAAGCCATCACTCTGCTAAACAAATAATTCCCTCAACACTGTTCAACTATTACAAAGTCTGCACTACTATTACTGTTTATTTTCTCATCACTCCTTATCACCCATCCCCTCCCACTTGTGACTGTATGACTGTAACTTTGTCTCTTGTATCCTTATGATTTATATTGACTGTTTCCTAGTATGATTTGATTGCTTTATTGTACCCTATGACTATTATTAAGTGTTGTACCTTATGATTCTTGATGAATGTATCTTTTCTTTTTATGTACACTGAGACCATAGCACCAAGACAAATTCCTTGTCCAATAACACTTGTCCAATGAAGAATTCATTTAGTCAGGCAGGCAGGCAGGCATTTTGTAGACAAACACACAGATTTGCACACACCCCTAAATCGGTTCCGAAAGTTTGGAGGAACCACAGGATGGATCTGAAACACAAGGTCTGTTACACACTTGATAGCATACTTTTTCAATATTGGATCCAAGTGTACAATGACATGTATATTGTAAGTTTATAATATTGTTGGAAGAAATATTCTTCTGGGTTCAGTTCCAAGTGGGGAAAAAGACACTGGAAACATGGAGGCTGTTTGGAAGGTTTAATCGTGGACAGGAGGACCACATGGCTTGAAGGTCCAAAGTGAAAAGGATGATCACATGCTTCAAGATGAAGGAAAAGATCAAGAAAGGACTGAGGTGCTGAGAGAGCCTGGGTTGTATAACCTTTGTTGGGATTTGAATTGGAGCTTTTATTCTGATTGGTTGTCAGACTCCTATGGGGCCATGCAGGGGCAACTCTGTAGGCTGTCCTGAGTTCCAGGCTTGGTTGAGCCTTGCTGGATGATGCACTGAAAGGGTTTTTGAGCAATTGCTATAGTTTTACCTGGAGATCTTTGTTATGTAAAGTATTCTGGCATAGGCCTTAATGACCCACCCATTAACAAAGGTGGGGGTGAGCTTCTACTTCTGAGGTGAGTTTCTGCTTCTGAGTTTCTACTCTTTTTAGGGGAAATGTTCTGCCTTTTTAATATTTCCTAGGATATTTCAATTTTCTAAGAGAGGTGTGGATGCTAACTTCCTACAATATCCAAGTGTATAATGAAGAAAGGGACACTGGTTTAAAAGGGAAACTGCATATTTGTCAAGAGAGCAGACCGGTTATTACTGAGTGGAGATTCTTCTATTTCTGGTTAGTTTTTCATCAACAGGGGCTCTAGCCCCCATCTCCAGTTTTATCCTCACAACAACCCTGTAAGATAGCTTAGTTTGAGAGAATATGTTGGGCTCAATCGAGGATTTTCCTGGCTGATGGCGGGGGACATGAACCTGGAATTGCCAAATTCCAATGCAAACCCTTTAAGCAGGGCGCCATTTGTCTTTATGGCAAACGTGGGCTTGCCAGGGTCTGTTGTGGGAATGTATTCCCATGTATTAAAAGGATTTAAGAACCGGAGGAAGAAAAAAAAAAACGAAGACAAATACAACGTGCTTTTTGTACGCCGGGAGGCTAAGGAAACGATAGTTAGCGTTTCTTTTGCCTGTCAGCTCAAACCCGCAATAAAAGTTAAGCAACAAGCACCGTCTTTCAACGGGCGTTACTCAATGGCATAACGAGGCGAGGAAACCCGCAGATCTGGCACGGCGCGGCGACCTTGAAGGCTCATCTCCCACGAGTGACAGGCTTGACACGGTCCTTCCCCACTCCCACACCGCAAGTTAGCGCCCTCCAGATACCTCGGGCTCCCCCTCCCCACCATCCTCGGCTGGGGATCCTTCGCCCGGAGACGGGCGAGAACCGAACGGCGACCCCACCCCCTACTCCACACCTCCCGGGAGCCAGGCAAAGGAAAGGTCACCCCAAGCCTCCCCACGCTCGCCTCTCCTGCCTGGGACGGTGAGGAGGGGGGGAGGGGGGAAAGCAGCATCTTTTCCCAAAGCCTGGCGATTGCTGAGCGCCGCTACTCGCCAATAGCCAAAAGGGCATCGGCGACCGTGCGCCCCACGGAGAAGATCGGCGACACTTGGGGACGAAGTAAACTTTTCAGGATCTCTGTGTGTGTGAAGGGGTGCGGGTGGGGGGGGGGGGGGCTGTGTATCTCCGTTTGTGGGTGCGTGCGCGTGCGGACACATCCTGCCTGAGGGGGTGAGAAAAAAGATGTTTATTTTCCCAGGGTGGCGATTGCTGAGCGCCGTTACTTGCCAATAGCCAAAAGGGCATCGGCGCTCGTGCGCTCAAGGTCGGACGCCCTTGGAGACGAAGTGAACCTTTCAGGGTGTGTGTGTGTGTGTGTGTCTGTGTGTCTGTCTGTCTTTCTGTCTTTCTGTCTTTCTGTGTGTGTGTCTGTGTCTGTGTGCGTCTGTGGGTCTCCCTTTACGCGCCCGTTGGTGCGTTCCTGCAAGATTTAGGGTTGCGCCACCTTCGCTTCGGGCCGCAGCTCGCCTCACCCCCTCCGCTCTGCCGTGCAGGCTGGCGGCCGGCAGGTGACGCCGCCGAGCCTCCTTTAAAAAAAGAAAAGAAAAGAAAGAAAGAGAGAGAGAGAGAGAGAGAAGGAAGCCGGGCTGCGCGTTGCGACCGCCGGGTTGCATGTCAGCCGAGGCAGAGGCGGTTATAAGGAGATCCGCTCGGATCTCCTTCTCGCCGGTCGCCCTTTCTCTCTTCACAACCCGCCCCCTCGCTCTCTGCGGTACTTTCTCTAAAGGTCGGTCCAGGGAAAGCGAGCAGGCGGGCGGGCGAGCGGCGCTGCCTCTCCCGCCGGATCCTCTGCGCAATTCGCATCATCTTCTGGTCCAGGACCCGAGGAAAGATTTACGCGCGGCAAATCACGGGGCTGCCCGGGACGTCTGGCGAGGTGAGAAAGCCCAGAAAGAGCCCGAAGTGGAGCTCCAGGTGGGTGGCGGGGTGGATTTCCGAGCAGAGCGGTGGGGACTGGCCGAGTGTTGGAAAAGCGCAGCCGACAGCTTGCGGGTCGCTGGAGAGAGGTGAGTGGCTCTCTGTGCAAGAAGCGGTGGATCGGTTTCCTGGAGGTCATCCTTGACCTAATCCGGGAGGGGGGCGGGGGCAGAGGGGGCGAGGAAATAAGGACTAAATCGCTTGCCCCCCCCCCCCCAACCTCTTTCTGAGGGTGCTTCTCTGCGGGGGGAAAACGATACAAAGAAGCTCCTGACAAGAAGCTTCTAACTCTTCTTGTCCTCGGATGCAAACATCCCATTCAGTTAGGAGGGGCTGATGGGTTCCCAAGTACGGGTCGCCCTCGACTCACGAACGCAAGGGAGCCCAGAATGTATGTTGCTAAGTGAGACATTGGTGAAGCGAGCTTTGCACCATTTTACGACCTAAAGGGAATCGCTGCGGTTGCTGAGTTAGTAATATGGTTTGAATCTGGCTTGCCGGAAGGTGGCGTAAAGGGGGTCATGGGATGCTGGGAAACTGCAACCGTCGTAAGTATGAGTCAGTTGCCAAGCTTGTGAATGTTGATCCCGTGACTATGGGGATGCTGGAACCTCCCCACGTGGAAACCGTGTGGGAAATGGTCATAAGTTGCCTCTTTCAGTGCCGTGGTAACTTCAAACTGTCACTAAATGAACTATTGTAAGTCGAGGATTATCTGTAAGGCAGCATTGAGATGGGAGAAAGGGGTGTTCCAGTAAGTTCAAGAGGAAAACACTTGGAGGGGGACCAGTTATCCCAGTCAAGGCAGGGGTTGCATTCACACCAGATATTAACCAGCTACTGTTTCAACAGAATGTACAAACTCAGCTCTTGTCACCTCATTAACCTGCAGAAGTTAAAAATAACCTGGCTGTTTTAACACACCTGGGAAGTGAGACCTGCAGAATACTTTAAGGACTTGTAACCTGGGTTGGAGCAACATCTTTGCCCAAACTTGAAGGAAAAACCAGGACTCTACCAACTTTGTTTTAAATGGGTTGGAGAATTGTAGCAGGCTATGCTTGGAGGCCTCTGAGAGGATGCTGAAAATATCCTACAGGTATTGCAAAGAAGTTAACAGATAACAGATTAACAGAGTTGGAAGGGACCTTGTAGGTCATCTAGTCCACACACACACACACACACACCCGCCCAAGCGGGAGACCCTACACCATTTCTGACTGATGGCCATCCAATCTCTTCTTGAAGGTCTCAAGTGATGATGCTCCCACAACTTATGAGGGAAACTTCTGTTCCATTGGTTAATTGTTCTCACTGTCAGAAAGTTTCTCCTTATTTCCAGTCATCATGTCATTATATAGAATGCCAGATTGATATAGGTAGGCAGATAGATATAGATGAGAGAGGGGGATATTAATATTATCCTCTTATCTTTGTATACATTAAATTAAATTAAATAACTCGACCCCTTTGGACCCTGTATTCCCTCAACCCACGACCTGCCACCCATCAAAATTACTCACCACTGGATCTTTTACTACAGGGGTCCCCAACCACCGGGCCACGGACTGGTACTGGTCCGTGGAACATTTCCTACCAGGCCGCCGGTTTGCTGGGCGCCACCATCTTGTTTTGATGAGAAAGTGCTTTCAGGTGAGCTTTTCCAGTTGGAAAGCGGCGTTTGGGTCCTGAAGGAAGCCTCGCGCCTTAGTTTCATTGAAGGGGGGGGCTTCGAACGAAACTAAGGCGGGAGGATTCTTTTAGCACCCAAGGCAAGGCGAGCCGAGCGACCGTCCAGAAGCCATCCAGAAGCGAAGCCCATGGACAAAGGTACAAAGGAGGAGTTGAAGGTGGTGGGGAGAAGCGGGGACAGCTGGCTGGCCGGTCGCTCGGCTCTCCTTGCCATGCGTACTGATGCCGGTACCGGGCCGCGGATCATTTTGTGATGCCGGTACTGGGCCGTGGCACAAAAAAGGTTGGGGGCCACTGCTTTACTATATCAGCAAGGGTGATGATGTTGGGGCCACCTCGCAAGTTCTCCAGGATTTTGATTTCTCACTTGGAACCAAGACTTCAATATAAATGTTTTTAGAAATCCCAATTTTTTGGTTGTAATTTTTCCCTTGGTCTCTTTTTTGCAAGCTTTGAAGTGGAATGTGATTAGAGGCTGTTCAGGTTCACGGTTTCACCATTTGAAATTTTAAAAGATCTTGGTTGAGTTGGTGACAGCTTTGTTGCTTAATATAATCCTATGTTTCTTGCCAGTGGCAACTTTAAGGTGTCTGGACTTCAGCTCCTGGAATTCTCTAGCCAGCATCTTAAAAGTTGCCGAGGTTGAGAAACACAGATGTCATCCAACAGAATGCAGGATTTCTGTGTATATTATAAAGTTTTCTATTACTATTTTTAAAAATCACTTTCTGAAGCTTTGTCAGCAAAACTAGCTTGACATACCAAATCCTGTTCCTGAAAAGGTTTATCACTATCAAATACTCTTCAGAAAACATGAGAATGATTAGAAAAGTCTGCACATGCTGTAAAATCTTACCTCAACTCCATCTGGTTCCTGAACAGACTTGTAGCATAAAGAACGAATTATTTTAAGCTACATCCTAAATTACACACAACTTTCTTGTAATAATATGGCTCTTTCGCCGTCTGCAGAGCTCCACGTGTTCTGTTTCAGATTGGCAGCTGGGATGACAAATGTAGCTGCTGGTTGCTGACTTCTCATCTTCCCATGTACAGGTAGTTCTTAACCACAATTTGAGACCAAATTGTCTGTTGCTCAGCAGGTCGGTTACATGAGTTTTGCCCCATTTGATGACCTTTCTTGCCACAGTTAAGTGAATCACTGCAGGTGTTAAGTTAGTAATGTAGTTGTTCAGTTAATCTGGCTTCCCTCTTGATTTTGCTTGTCAGAAGATCACAAAAGGGGATCACATGCAGTGGTGGTATTCAATTTTTTTAAACTACCGGTTCTGTGGGCGTGGCTTGGTGGGCGTGGCAAGGGAAGGATACTGCAAAATCCTCATTCCCTCCCCACCGCACTAGCCTGCTTTCCAGCTCTGTTTTCCTGTGCAGGGCAACCAAAGAAGACCCAGCCGATCAGCTGGGACTCGGGAGGCAGAGAATAGATGGGGGCGGGGCCAGTCAGAGGTGGTATTTGCCAGTTCTCCAAACTATTCAAAATTTCCACTCCCAGTTCTCCAGAACTGGTCAGAACTGGCTGAATACCACCTCAGTGATCACATGACTCACTTCAACCATCAAAAATATAAGTCAGTTGACAAGCATCTGAATTTTGATCATATAACCACTGGGATGCTGGAATGGTTGAAGTGTGAAAAACGGTCTTAAGTCATTTTTTTTCCAGTGCCGTTGTAACTTTGAATAGTCACTAAATGAACTGTGGTAAGTCAAGAACTACCTGTACAGTAGAATGGAATGTGGAAGTACATCTAGGGCTTTGCGGCTTGGTGACCCAGCTGGCGGGGAGGGTAGAGGGGAACTGAGCCATGTGAGCAGTGGGCCACTCACACAAGTTGAGTTGCGTAAAATGGGGCAAGCTCACGTAACAAATGTTTCACTTAACAACGCAAATTCTGGGCTCAATTGTGGTCATAACTGGAGGGCTACCTGTGCAGAGATGTTGATAGAGATATTCCATTTATTGCAAATACTGTACAGGCAGTCCTCAATTTATGACTATTGGTTTAATCCCCCTTCAAAGTTACGATGGGTCTGAAAAAAGTGACTTACAACTGGTTTGTACACTCAAGACCATTGCAGCATCTACACAGTCACATGATCAAAATTCATTTAACAAGACTGATAAATTGCCCCAATCCATCATATATATTTTTGGCTGTGTGTGTGAAGGATTACTGTATTTTTCACTCTATAAGATGCACTCCCCCCACCCCCCACAAAAAAATGTGGGTGGAAATGTCTGTGCATCTTATGGAGCAAATATGGTGAATCGCAGCCAGGCTGGGGTGCTGGGGTCTTTTTACCGTGCTGAACTCCGCCTCTTCTGTCTTTGCCATTGCCTGCCCTCTTCTGTCTCTTTTCTGCAGTGACACAGGAGTCAATAGGCAGAGCTGGCACATGAGAGGACACCTATCTGTGGTCCTCTCAGGCTCCGCCTCCTGCCCTCACTACATGGCTGCTCCATATTTGGTGCTCAATATTCAAAGTGAGACGGCCCTCCATATTCATTTTTTTTTTCTCGTCTTTTCCACACCGAAACCTAGGTGCGTCTTATGGAACAAATATGATAAATAGGAGCCAGGCTGCGGCAGCAGGGTCCTTTCATAGTGGAATATGGAGCGCCGTCTCACTGTTAATATGAAGCGCTGAATATGGAGCAGCAGTGTAGTGAGGGCAGGAGGCGGAGCCTGAGAGGACCACAGATAGGTGTCCTCTCATGTGCCATCTCTTATGCGCCACTGTGGAAAAGAGACAGAAGAGGGCAGGCAATGGCAAAGACAGAAGAGGTGGGGTTCAGCACAGTGAAAGGACCCCGCCATCGCAGCCCGGCTGCTGGTCAGGTGTATCTTATGGAGCGAAAAATACGGTATATTATACAAGGGAAAGGATTTCCCCTCAAGTCTCTCATCTAGTTCACTGATAAAGATGTTGAACCGCACAGAGCCTAGGAGAAAGTTCCTTCAGTCCTGTGCTCTAAAGCAAGGGTGTCCAACCTTGACAACTTTAAGACTGGTGGACTTCAACTCCCAGAATTCCTCAGCCAGAGGAATTCTTGGAGTTGTAGTCCACAAATCTTAAAGTTGCCACAGTTGGAAATCCCTGCTCTAAACTTCAATGGAGCCATGAGGCAGACTGGCTAAGGCAATGGGTGGGCACTGGAAGCCAGATAGGTGGTGTGTGTGTGTGTGTGTTTGCTGCTCCCAAGGAATGGGGGCAAAGGGGGAGAAATGACTTGTGAACTTTCCT